GAGAGAGAGAGGGGGCACTTGTAGCAAGAGTAGTCAGTGCAGGTTTGGTAAAGGAGATGAAATTTGAATTGGATCTTTAAGAATGAGTACGATTCCCCTTTGTGGTAAAAAATTTAAAGAATGAGTACGATTCCAATAGGAAGAAAGAAGTGATGTGTGCATATGTAGTAGGATGATAGAAGAAATTGAGGATAGCTCCTAGGTAGGGGAAATAATAAAGAATAGCCACTGTGGGCTTGCCTCATAGTATACTTGGTTGATTATTATCAATATTAAAAGATCACAAATGATCAAGAGATTGCTAGTGTGCTCCTACCTTATCTCAGCAAGTAACTGTTCATTCAGGCAAGTTCTGTTGCTTACTGTTGGGTTGTCGGAAAAGTCATGACGCATGTTTGCAACAGATGGCACTAGTTCATTTTTGGAAGTACTAGAGTCATTTGCATATGTGCTATTGCTACGTCGTTTGACAGCTGACAGTTCTAGCTTTATTCTAAGAAAAAATGAGTGATTTGGTTGAGTTTTGGAGATTTTACAACAAGTTGAAGATGAAAGACCAAACTGCATTTTTGCCATATTTTACTGTTTTACTTCCATAAAGGGAAGAACGCACATCAAGCTTGTGAAAAGTTGCGTAAAGTTTACAGTGACAATCCTCCACAAGAACCTCAGTGCCAACGATGGTTCATGAAATTTCGTACTGGTGATTTTGATCTCAGCGACGCTCCTCGGTCAGGGAGGCCCACCGAGGCTGACGACGACAAAATAAAGGCATTGATCAAGTCAAACCCATGTTACACGACACGAGAGATTGCAGAAACATTGAACAGCCATCATTCAAGCATTCATGACCACCTGAAGAAGCCGGGATACGTAAGCAAGCTCAGTATTTGGGTTCTGCATGAACTGAAAGAAGTTCATTTGACGGCACATATAAACATCTGCAACATGCTCATTAAACGTGAGGAAAATGATCCTTTTTTAAAGCGACTGTTAACCGGTGATGAGAAGTGGATTGTTTACAACAATGTGGTGTGCAAATGGTCTTGGTCCCGATGTGATGATTCACCTCAAATGACATCTAAAGCAGACATTCATCAGAGGAAGGTTATGCTCTCAGTGTGGTGGGATTTTAAAGGTATTGTGTTTTTCGAGCTCCTACCAAGGAACTAAACAATCAATTCAAATGTGTACTGTTGGCAATTGGGCTGTTTGAATGACTCCACCATCCAGAAATGTCCAGAGCTTGTTAATTGCAAAGGAGTTGTGTTCCTTCGTGACAACGCAAGACCACACACAAGTTTGATCACCCATCAAAAATTACTGGAGCTTGAATGGGATGTGTTGCCACACCCACCATACTCACCTGACCTTGCGCCATCAGACTTCCACTTGTTTCGCTCTCTTCAAAACTCCTTGCGTGGTTAACGTTCAATTCAGATGAGGCTGTAAATCAGCACCTTGTTCAGTTTTTCGCAAGTAAAGACAGGTCCTTCTATGAACGAGGAATTATGAAGCTCACCGAAAAATGGCAAAAGGTTATTGAACAAAACGGGCAATATATCATTGATTGATCTTTGTTTTTATATAAATAAATGACCTTTGAAAAGCATAGACAAAATACATCATGACTTTTCCGACAGCCCAATACTTGTATACACTTGGGCAAGGCACAAGCCTCCTGAGCCTTTCCTTCCTGCTATGTAAAATGAGAATAATAATAGACCTACTTTAAAGGGCTGTTGTGAGGATTCAATCAGCTAATTAACACATGTACTTAGAATGCATTGTGGTGTACAAATGGGGCTCAACAAATATTTATTACTGGCATTATTATTATTACCATCATTGTTATTATTGCTATTACTGTGATTCATTTATTCATTCAGTAAGCATTTACTGAGTTCCTACTCTGTGTCAGATACTATGCTAGGTCCTGGGGATATCATGGTGAGCAG